ACTTACCGATTTTAAGCTTAACAGAGTATGTTTATATTAGGAGGTCAATATAGCAATGAAGCGTCTTCACAATAGTATCTAACGTCGTGGTGAATGTTAGGGGTACGAGAGTATTGGTGATAGCTTCTTTGGTGTATTCAGACCGGCCGCATTTTGGGAAACCATTTTGAGCTCAAGACACATATACTAACAATTTTAGACGGCTTTCAGAGAAAGAGCTAGAGCAGGGTTAATTCCTGGTGTTACCAAGGCTTCTTGGTAATTGAACGCAGGGAGCATTCATTTCTTTGTGTTCATATTGTAAATAGATCAAAATATATTAATTTTTCGGAACGATCCTGCTATTTGGATGCGCTCTTCACGGAAATCGTGATACTGCAACCGGTATTAAAAATGAGATTAAATCTAATGGTAAAGATACCACATTAGAGATGAGCCTGGATCCAATAGTAGTGGACCTCAGAATGAATTAATACGAATGAAGTTCTATCGGGACAGTTTCGTCGGTCAAATTATTCTAGTTTATGCCTTGAAGACATCGATAGACTAAGAAAACGTCATGAAAAACGGAAGCGGCGAGCTCCACTAAGAATTTGCGACTAGAAGGTACATGTGAAACAAAGCGGGTGCGTAATACTATATCTGCAAGACGATAACCGGAAAGAAGACAAATGGAAGTTGAAATACTCGATAAAAATGTGAAAGAACTTGAACAACACCTTAAGAAAATGAGCACTAAGTGGTTATCAATGGAGGTACAAAGGTGGCAAGAATCGGTTGAGAAAAGGGAAAAAAATAAGGATTTGTTTAGAATTTATATAATGCTTAAATTTATATACATATTGTAAAGATTATTTGTGCGTAGTGTTTAACGCAAGATGATATTTCTTAATTGAATTCTCTTAACCATGAGACAATTTTCCATTTAATATGTCTTAAATGACTTGGACATTCAAGACATAATGGTGTACTCTCTCAAATTTCAAGTTTCTAAATTCAGACACTCTAAGCTTAAAGGTCCTGAAAAGAAAGTCTAGCTTTTGTTAAAGCTGAAAATTCTAAAATTGTCGCTCCAGACTGAAGTTTTTCGCAATCAATTCTTCAAATTAATGATGTTTACAACTTGTATATCCAATTCCTTTCATTAAATAGCTTTTATTGGCTCGAGATAATTCCAAGAACAACAAGAAAAACTTCAGGTAGTATATTTAACTTCTATGAAAGAATGTGTTTTTGCAAATCAAATCTAGAAATGTAGAGATGATTATTCTACTAGTTGATTGAAAATAGTATCAGAACAGCAGAAAAAAACAAGTGTACTCCTCAGCTATCACGTCTACATCTCCTTACTTCTGCTGTAGAAAATAGAACTACTACTATAGTAAATGCAGATAATGGGGACTCGGAAAGTATGACACAGAAGAAATCAAAGTCACCAGAAAAGTAGATTCTTCTTGGAGCAATTGCTTTTCTTTGAATTTTTTATATTACACTTTGATAAAGGAAATATATCTAATACCTTAACTTCTAATTTGAATGAAGACGTGGGCTTAGACAACAATAAGATAAATGTGGGAATAGCCTTATTCAACATCGGTATAGTTGTATTTGAAATTCAATCAAATAGATTATTAGTTCGGACTAAGTAGGTGGTTAAGTTTTCAGATAGTGGCATGGTCCCTCTGTGCAGCTTTGCAATCGTATATGACTGATTACAGAACATTTTTAGTTACCAGGTTTCTTTTGGGTGGGTTAGAATCAGTTATATTCCTGGTGGTTTATACTACATTAGTACTTGGTATACGAAGACTCAATTGCCTCTTCGCTACGTTATTTATTTCAAATAATTAAAAGTTTGCTCTTTTAACATGCTTAATAACAAGTAATGCAGTTGGTCATGTTTTGAATTATACCTGGACAAGTATCAATGTTTCAAAGCCAAAGCATCACACTGTAGCCATGCTTGTTATGGCTGCGAGCATGAAGGGAATTACTGCTGAACGAATACTGAGAACGAACGATACTCCAAAGTATCATCATTTGTTTTGGCCCTATCGATTGTCAGCATATTCTCTTTGCTAGTGGTACTTCCTGTATAACCCTTCAGTATATTTGGAGCAACCTCAGATTGGAGCAGAAATATCCATTATTGAATAATCAAATAGACGAAGAAAGCTGTAACCGAAGAAATTCAAATAGCGGGAAGAGACAATGTTATTGTTGTTGTTAGGAAAATCAAAAATGAATCATATATGGAAACCCTTCTTGGTAATTTCTCAGATAATGGCTAACGTATCGAAAAACATAACATAATACTGTTGCTAATAAAGACAAGTCTATATATAGAGAATTTGTATTTCAATCAATACGTAAGTAATGAAATTTAGAATGAATACGTGTATTTTTAGAAATCTAAGACATTCATTACAATTAAGTAGGTTATGCAATTTGATAATTATCGTAACCTCACTATTTCGTTGATTCAAATTTAATCCATTTGAACAAACTTTCATTTGGATTGATGAGTTCTTTTGAATCCCACTCAAAGTCTAAAAGTCCTGAGGCACTAACAGTCTGTGTGTATAATAAGAAGTCTTCTGCTCTTATACCAACACTTTCGATTCTTTCCTTGCATTCTTTGAGGGAATCTTCATAAGAAATAAACTTCCTAGGATAATCTTGACCCATCATTCTATTTAAAAGTTGTTCCTGAGTGATCTTATCTGACCAAACACGAATCTTATCTGGGAGAGTCGATGGATCTTTCGAAATAACTGATGCAATAGTTTGTCCGACATTCTCGTATGCAGTGAATGCCCATTTTATATTTGGTTCACCCCTAATAATAGCTTTGTCATCCTCGAAGTTTAAGCTTAGAGCGTGAGAAGGAACATCATTCCAAGCACCTTTTTGGAGGAAATGAGAGGTGCAAATATCGACAGCTTTTATTCCACCAGCTCTAACGTCCCTAGAATGTTTAACTTTGAAACTGAGAACATCAAATGGAATAATATCTAAATCCATACCAAACTGAGATGAATTACTGCCTTGGCCAATACGTCAAAATCAGCACTTGGACCTGCTAAAGAAATAATAATATCAAAATCTCTAAATGCTTCTTTCAAGGATTTCTCGTCGTTGGCTTCATAATATTCAAGTTCTGGAGTATTTTCTTTGCCTTCTTTAGATCTAGTGATACCTCTCAACGGAAATTTAAAATTGTTTCTGAACCTAGACGAAGTAATTGCATCAAAAATAGTTGGGAAAACGGAGCTATTTACCCCATATATAGCAACGGAAGACATCTAGTTAGTGTAACATATTTCGAACTTCAAAAGGAATGTCTGAGTTGCTTTTATATTCATAAGCAGCTTAGTAATTTAAAGTTGATGACAAATATGTAAGTTCAATCAGTACATGCGTAGAATTTTTTTTTTGATTGTTAAAATCCTTGATCGTCAACATCTTTTCCATCAGTGCAGCAATTTTACTTTTCCAGCTTCGTACCTTAAATATATGGTTTGAGATGATATACCAGAAATTAGAATTAATTACTCGATGGTATTTAGATCTCTATTCATTTAAGGATTGGTACCAATATGTCTGTTGGTAGAACAAAATATTTGCTCTACTTTGTCTCTATTAGAAGAATAGTGAAACTACTACTGCGGCAATGTATAATTAATAAGCTTGAAGGCTTAGTGCGCTTATAGTCAATTCAAATATGACATAATTAAATTCTGTAGAGCACTGACATGCTTTTCGTCTATCAATACATCATGTATTTTGCTATCATTATTAATAATCATTCTCTGGAAGAATTACAATCTCTTGCTATATATAAGAGGTAGAATCTTGCTCGATAATGAATCCTTACAATTATTTAACTTCAATTCAAATAGTTTATTGAGCTAACCGAAAATGTCAGATAAAAAGAAAGTACTTCTTGCTATTACATCGTACAACGAAACCTTTTACAAGGATGGAAAAAAAACTGGATTATTCTTGGTAGAGGCTTTGCACCCATTTAAAGTCTTCAAAGAAAATGGATATGAGGTTGACTTTGTTTCTGAAACAGGGACCTACGGGTTTGATGATCATTCCCTTGGCCCTGATTTTTTGAATGGCCAAGACTTGGAGGTTTTTAAGGATCCTAAGTCTGATTTCAATGTACATTTGGAGAATATCAAAAAGGCTTCAGAAGTTAATGCAGATGATTATGAAATATTTTTTGCTTCCGCTGGACATGGTACTTTATTTGATTATCCGAAAGCCAAAGGGTTGCAAAGTTTAGGAGAAAAGATTTGGTCTAATGGCGGTGTTCTAGCTGCAGTCTGCCACGGAGGAGCTATTTTTGATGGAATGACCGACCAAAAAACAGGTAAGCCATTACTTCATGGAAAAACTATTACTGGATTCACCGATATAGGAGAGATCTTATTAAATGTGGATGGAATTATGAAAGAAAAAGGTTTAGAATCAATTGAGGAGTTAGCTAAGAAGTATGGAGCTAAGTACTTAGCTCCTTTGGGTCCTTGGGATGATTATTCCGTTGCTGATGGAAAATTGATTACTGGGGTTAATCCTGCTTCAGCCGTTTCCACTGCGAAAAGATCTGTTCTTGCCGTCAAAAATTAAAGCTTTGTTTTTAATACAACACTTTTGCTCATTTTTTGCTATCATAGAAAGTTACCACAATTTTGTTTATATCCGTAGTAGAGAAATCTTGCATATGTTTCTTTGAATGTGTATTGGTTAGCGTTTTAATTAAGCAATAAGTCTTAATTTTTAGTTTTTATAAAGTAAATACAAGCAGCATAAATGATATCAATGCTGTAGAAAAATTATCTAATTGAATTCATTTTCAGGCAAATTAGCGTTAGTTTCTGATTTTGTATTACTATTAGAATGAATAATCATTCAATTATCTACAAACTTCTTAGTACCTAAAACTGATATATCTATTGTAACCGTCGTATTTAATGTTCTATATTTCGTGGGTTACACGATCTTATTCTCTCAAACATAATTATGATTTAGTATTGAACTCTAGTAATCTTGTTCCTTTCTCAATGATAGTACGAACATTAATTACCATATCAATATTATGTGTTATTATTTGCTCTCATTATTAGCATTTTTCTATTGGTAATCAAAGAATCAAGTATTAAATTAGCTATAACTACCAATTTCCTCTACATTTTGGGTGAAAAAATTCTGCTTTACAAAAAGTAAGAATAATGTGGCAAACAAATTAGTCAAAGAAGAAAGCTCCTATAAAAACTCTAACCGTGAAGAGAAAAACAATCAACATGTAATTGTAGTATTTGGGTTCTTCATGTACTCTGTAAAACTATCTGAGGTCATAATTTGTGCAATTATACCCAAGTCATATCCCTAAATAAATCATCCAACGGATACAAAGCAACAACCCAAAAATTGGTATAAAACTGGACTAACATTCATGAAGAATACTTTGATTTTGCATACTTTGGTTTTGCAATCATTTGAATAATTTTTGAGATTATATACGGTCTCGCACTCTTGTTAATCTACCTTCCCCGAGACATTACACTCTGGAGCATTTCCTTTGTTGAAATAAAAATAGTGGGTTTCGGTATATTAGCAACCGATATTTTTTCCATTGGGGTATAAGGGTAAGTGATTAAATGCTGGAAATCTATTTCTGGCAAAACTATATTTCTTGTCAGAGAGTGTTAAGCATTCCAGCTCAAACAATTAAAGAAATTAAAAGTTGATCACAATCACCGCTTGGGCGCGATTGACCAAAATATATAGCGGCTTCCTTGAACACCTCGGAAGATGCATATATGGAGGAATTGTTGACTATGACAACCTTGATAATGATTTAATAATAAAAGAAGGTTACAGAAAAGATGTTGCAAAAGCATTAAAAACTCTTGAATTCGTTGACCGGGAGGCAAACTTTGTCAGTTCTTATCACAAACTGGATGGTAAAAACGTGGAGCAATCCCGACTTTAAACTGCGTCTGTTCTTTATTGAACTCAGTCACAATCAAACAAACTCCGTTGGTGCAAATCGAGTCTCATAAGTGAACATCAGTTAAGATCGATGCGCAATTTCCAATATGTCATAGAAACACCATTCCCTCCAGATGCTGAGGTACCTTGGTCCATGTGTCCAAGGACCGTTCCAACTTATTCCAACCAGTGAACATGATCTACAGTCGATGTTGGAGCTAAATACGTCATGATTTTGACATCTTAAGTACCTTGAATTCACCGATTACGCTACCGGTGTTTTTGTAGTGTACTGCGTAAATTTAAGACCATTTATTTTTCACTTTTCCATCATCCTCCAATGAAGCGATTGGGTACAACTGAAGACTAATCCGTTATTTCTAGAAAGGCTGTGTAAAGAAATCAAGA